AGGATGAACTTAAACAGATAAGTCGGATACCTTGCAATGCTGTGCGTTTGGTATGAGATCTGCTCTCAACTTTTCTCTCCTTATACTTTCACTGACTTCAAGTGGAATTCATATTAGTAATCACCTTCAAAACTCATAGAGAAACTTGGCTTTTGTTTTAACTAGAGAATAAGTAGGCGTCAACAGACGATTGGAAAGAATGATCACAGGTTACCCGATGCAACAAGTCACCGAAACCCTTCCATCAGAACTATTTCAAACTGGCATCTTCCTCCTCTTTTAAGTATTTCTTTCATTTTGCCATCATTAGCCACCTGTAACATTCCCTGTGCCGCCACCTGCTCAGGTAACAGTGAAAACTTTGCCCAGTCTTTGCTTAATTTTTTAAAAATCGATTTTTATACATTTGCTTCAGACAATCTCTCAAAATGAAACAAAACTCTACTGAAGAAACAGATATTTATGGTTTCAAACTTGACGAGACTTTGGTGTAAAGACATTCAGTTCAAGCAAAATCGAAATCTATCGGGATTAGTTTTTTTTTTTCTTTTTCCACTTTTTACAGATCGACGGAGAAACCGACTTCGGGGTAAACACACACTGGTGCAGCCGTCTCCTTTGTCAACTCGCTTCTCCCACGTAATCACAACATCTTCCCGAGTCGAAAGACGTTAAATGCGATCCCTCCCACTTGCAGCTGCCTTTTTATTTTTGTTGCTATTACTTTTGTTCTCCCTTTCGCTTCAACAGAAACCGGGCTAGATTATGTTATGTTCTGTGTCGGCCTGTTTGCCGCCCACGGGGAGAATAGTCTCACTTTCCTAATCTCAACCACCTGAATAGCGCAAAACTTCACAAACGGGTCCAAGTGGAGCAACCGCTGGCCCCCGCTCCCATGCCGATGCTCCGCATTTAGAAAAACATTTGAGGAGTTACATCACGCTCGCTGCGTAGGCCGCGAAATAAAGATGGTATGTAATCCGGGCGCGTGTGCCGCCGTACACGCAGCCATCCCACATAGGTGCAAGTGCATTTAGTGTAAAGTTGAAACGCGTACACGCAGCAGATTCTCCGCCAATATAATTACTGGACGGGCTGCCGATGCTCCCACTGTGCCGTCGTCAAGGCAACGCCGACAGCCCACCTCTGTGGGAAGTGGAGGAGGAGGCCGAAAATAAGGAGAGGAGACTAGGGGGGAGGATGAGTAAGAGGAGCAGAGGATGACAGGAGCACGAGGGAAGAAGAAGAAGAGGAGGAGGAGGAGGAGGAGGAGCGAAGCGGTGGGCGGCGAAACGCAGGCGATTAGGGACAGGGGAGGGGGACGCATAACGACCCCAAAACGACGTGCAGAAAGAGGATGAGAAGGGAAAAGACAGGGAGAGAGAGGGGACACGGAGCTGTGCTGCGAGTCGGTGGTGTTTGAACTGCGGGCAGAAAGCAGCTGAGCCAACTCCACTGCACAGCGCCCGACTTCATCTCCCTTCACGCCGTCTACTTTAACCATTTAACCACAAAGATCTCAGACTGTGCTCTTTTGCAGGTTGTTTAAAGCTAGTCAAATATGTTGTATGCTGGAATACGCCAACGTGCTTTAAAATATGCTAGAAACAAATACTTTGCCCCTTTCCCTCCATCCAGTTAAGAAAAACAAGCTATTTAAAGGACAATAGTGTCAGATAGAACAGACGCAAAGTGACCTTCTTCACGGCGAAATAAATACCACCTGTGATCGTCCTTTTTTGTGACCAAAAATTTTAAAAAATCTTTACAACGTACATTGAATGGGGGAGTAGGCAGACAACAGTGAAACAAAGTCTACGCTGGGCCTGGAACGGCTTTCTTTCAATGATCAGGAAGCAACTGGGCTCTTCAAGGTTAAGAGGTTGTAGAGAACCAAAAGGGTGGGGGGGGTGGAGCTTTGACTTTCACGCTCATTACTGCAAAGGCTCTTGGGACTATCAACACCAAATTATTCCTTTGGGATGCCACGCTTTTTCAGTTTCATTGGATCAGGGCTTTGTTGTTGATTTGGTCACATGATGCGGTAAAATTCAGGATTTTATTCGAGCAGAGCGACAGATTTCCTGTGTTTATCTAAATTTCTTCAAGGAAATTAGCTAGTGACGTAATCCATCTTCTGAACGATCCCCGGATTTATAGCAGGTCTTCTGCTCAAAACCGGGTTGTATTCTATCTTCTCGGCGAGATATAATTTCTCGACCGCTTTCGAGCACACACGGTTTCAACTCTGCCTGTCAGCGGGCCTGACTAAGCCAAAAATTTATGTCGGTTTCTTTTTCCTGGTCTCCTGTAAACATGCCCTCTGGTGTTGACAGGGGAGGGTCTAACATAATCCAGAGCATCTGTTGAGCTCCTGTGTTGACTGCATATCACACGGATCAGGTCATAGTAGGTTAACACTCCACGTTACAGAGAGCTGCTATTTATGGATGGCCCCTGTGAAACCTTCGAAACAGAAATGGAGCGGGGGCGTAGTGATAGTGGCTGCCTTTAGTTTTTAACCCCTTATTCGACAACCTTGTGACCTCCTCACTGTTAGCTCTAAATGACAAAGGTAATCAGTGGATCGGCAAAGATTACAGCCGCGGGTCTTTAAGAAGGTGTCTGCGCTCCATCTGTTATGTAGAAAGACAGAGCGCCCTCATTTAACTCCACTGCTGTGTTTCACCGGTAAACAACAGCCAAAAGCCGCACCAACATCCGGGTAACAGCACCGTTGTCTAAATTAGTCATAACAGTTCAAATTCAATCATCTACTTCCCTGTTCTTTGGTTACCGGATGGATTTCCAAAAGCACCTGGTCTGGAATGCCGATGAAACATCACATAGTCTTTACCAGACAATGAGCCAATAAACAACCGCCTGTTTTATTATTGCCTTTCACTACAAATCTTTTGTTTACACTCAACAGATTAAAAAAAAATATTTCAGATGAATTAGGATCTAAATCCAGCACGCCACTTGAAGATTACAAAGTACTAAAGGAGTGGACCTTCAAACCTCGCTAGATTGAGCCCTTTTGAAATCAAAACCATGAATGGATGATTTTTCTGAATGAACTCGTTGGCCACAATCCCCAAATTTAAATTTAAAAAAGAGAAAATGTTCACCATCTAGAATCCTAGATGCTGAAATCCTGCTTCGGGGAGATGAGGGCCAGAGAAGAACTTCTAAACAAAATCTCTGCAACATGGTCTGCCCCACTTCTTGGGATCCACTTCTTTCCTGGAGGCTGGCTCAAACAAGAGAACAACAGCGTTGGGATGGTTTGTTTACCTTGACACCCTATTTGTTTGGGACGACATCCCTCTTTTAGTGCTTTCAAGCAAGATTTTTCTATGGATTAATACACTTTTGCCATCCCCTTCTGGAGAGATACAATAAAAAAAAAACAACACAGCTCCAAGTCAGGTGGGATGTGAGTGTTTTAAATGCCGCAGAAAAGCTCCACATGTCCTGATCCTGTCTGCTTTTCTGCTTTTAGTAGATTATGGGCTCACTCAAATGTAATGGTGCTCCGTGACCTCTGAACGACGGCGTGCGCTTGTATATTTTGAGCGCGTGCTCCTAGTTTTGGCGATTCTGCGACGAGCGCATCAAGTGAATGGATTCGGCTTGATCTGTTTCTGCAGAAGCTCCCACTCTCTCTGCGGCCGGCCCGCCGACAAGAACACTCTGAGGCCTTTCATTTTAATCGTCCGCAACCTGTGATGAACATCAATTCAATTTAATTAAATTGTGTTTTTTTATTTTATAGACATTAGATGTGTTAGATACGCGTTAGTGTGGCCCCCATCTCTTTGGGCCATATGTCCAGTCCCCATACATCCTTGCGTTTGTGCTGCCGTAACCCACAGGTTACTATTTTTAGGACAAGAGTCGTGACTGTATATACATGCCTTTGTGTGTGTGTGTGTGTGTGTGTCCGTGTGTGTATGTGTGTGTGAGAACCTGCGTGTGGTTGGGCGTGTCATCGGGTTACAGAGTGTGTAAGTGGACTCCTCTTTGTCCTGTTTGATAATTTTAGACAGACAGCCACTGAAACTTTCAACAGGGGGGTCAGATGCTCTGTGTAGCGTTTTCCACTGACAGGCTCAGACACACAAACACACACACACAGTGGTGTTTAATCTTTTAACTCTTAGTTTGCTTAAAACAAAGTTTGACTGTCAAATAAACCGACTTTTTGGGGTTACGCTGAAAACTATGTGAGCTAAGGTCACTGAGGCTAACAGTATGGTTGCCAGGGCACCCTCGGCCTCTTTGATAATGAATGATAAAGAGATATGACAAACCAATAACTTATTAAAATGTTATGATGGATTTTTTTAACCCCCCTCCTGGAATGTGGTCACTGTGTTGGAACACAAGAACCAGTTTGTCTGAAATCATTAGAGCTGGCTTAGATTTGGGGATTTTTTTTTTCTGGAAATGGGAGACTCATTCTTTATCTTAGCCAGTTTATCAGCTTTTTTTTATATGATGCGTCAAAATGGCTAACAAGAATATTTTTTCACTCTACACAAAGTCCTGTTAAGCAGGGAAATACAGTCATCTCAAGAGGAGGCGTTCAGTTTATCGAACCATGTTTTTTTTTCTGCGTATGCAAAAGGGGTGAGGGTGAAAACTGTTACGGCTGATGCGTTCCCAAGACAGAGGTGGAAATAGCTAAATGTACAGATGAGAGAATTAAAAATGGGTACAGGAAGCAGGCGAGTCAGAGGCTTAAACAGAGGGAGAGATGACTGCTGACTCATCCTCCGACAGAACAGGCCATCTCCGACTCTTTCTCGTCGCCCCGAAGTGCCGCTGGCAGTCTTTCCTCCAAGCTGTTCTCTGTGCTGGTCGAACAAATACCTCCAGCTGAGCCGGCATAAATGTGGCCCCACTGCGCGAATAAAAAAAAAAAAAAATCTAAACTAATCTGCTCAAAAATGTAGTTCTCTCAGTGATTTGAATTCTTCTAATTTGTTTCTTTTATGCTCTCTTTTTTTAGGAAAGCCATATCCCGTTCAGGCCTCCATTACCTCGGTCCACCTCCATCTTCGCTTCCTCCGGCGTCCAATGGCCCCAACAAAGAGCTTCGTACTTCCGTGGACTGGACGGTTAGACACACACACGTTATATTACCAGATTTTTGTTCACATCCCATTTTTTGGTCATTTTGATTTAGTGTTGTATTTCTACGCGTCTATCACACTAACAAAAAATGGTGAAAAATGAAGAAAAATACAATTTTTCTCTCTCTACTCTCTGACTGAGTCAGAGTGACATTTGGATTTTCATTTGTTTGAATCTTTTCCGCAGACATATGTTCCTGTGGAAGAAAAACAAACAGTTTCTCCTACTTTATGGCTTCTACAAGAAAAAGCCTTTCTCGCATAGAGGAAAAAGTTTTATATATCAAGACCCCACTCGATATGACTTTTCAGGGACTGTTTTGCAGGACTGAATGGGTTTTACTTACAAAATGTCAATAACAAAACTTCAAAGCTACTTTTAGATGCTTTCAAGTGTTCTAAAGAAAATGTCAAGTAGTTTCAGATATTAGTCAGAAAGTAAAACAAAATTCTTATTTGGCATTTGAATTTCAACCAAAACAACCTCGTTTTTTTCTGTTAAACTTGTTGTCTTTAAAACAGCGCTCTAATGCACTGCGGCATATTGTTTTAACGTGTGCTACAGATATGAATTTTTTCTGGGAAACGTCAATAGTTTGCTTTGAAAAAGTCTAAACTAATGGGAGCTTAAGGAACACTGACAATCTGGGATTTAGAATCTTTGTAAAGCTTCACCTGAACCATGCCTTTACGTCTAACTAGTCAAATGTACTCAAGAATGACCACATAAAAATGATATGTGGAGCCATTTGGACACAACAGTGTTTCTACTTCTGAATGACCATCATTTTTCTCATTTCTAGGTTAAAGCATATAAACAGCCAATGCAAACCAGACAGTTTGTCCACCGATTTGTCCAGAACATTTGTAAAAATCGCATTTAGTATATGGGAAAAGTGACACGTCTGTCATAATATGTCAGGATGACTAATTAGACTCTGATAGGCATACATCAATAATGAATAGATGATACAGTGGGCTCTGTTATTAATAGGACTGTGCAAGCCGGCAAACAGTTGCGGGATAACATCAGAGGTTTCCTGCAGGGACACTTCCACCCCGTCATCACTAACCTTTTTCGTCTCCGCGCGCAGGACACACAAACAAAACTAAACTATCCACATCCATGGGCTTCATTCACTGTGACTCATTTCTTTTACAATATAATATTATTAGAAATAATGTCAACACAACAAAGGATTTCGTTCTATTGGTGGAAGTGGAAATACATTGAAATGTCCATTTAAGTAAAAATAACTGTCGACCTCTGGACTATTTAATTCAAATCCTCACTTCATAATCAGCGTCATAAGGACCTGCAGCTGTGTTACAAATGAAACCATAGCTCTATTGATAGCGCGCTTGAAACAAAGGATGGCTTCTCCTTGTAGGAGTTGATGTATCTTTGCGTTTTTCCCTCTTTAATGTCGTTCAAATATGTATAAGAATACACTTGGCACAGATTCATGTAAGACTCCCAGACTAATGCAAATTCTTTTTAATTGACAAAGTCAAGACTAATTAATTTTGACCTGACGTGCATCTAAATGTCACAGACTGGTTTTACTTTTAAGGTGATTGTTAAACAATTGATCATCTGTGTTTTTTTATTTGGTTAAAATGTCAGACATAAACCTTGACTGGTTCTGCCCTGCGGAATTGCATGTCAACTTCATGTGTGTCTTTAGATTTTATATTTTTGCTTAAGTTTAAGATTGATTCGGAGCATCTAATCCATACACTCTCTGTGTTTAGAGACAGTTTTCAGATAAAAAAACATAAAGGTGGTTTAGATGAAGCAGTGCCTGCCCAGTTCTATGAAACAGTTCACCTTTTATATGCTTACTGCTCAGAGTTTGGATGCATGAAAAGCTAAAACCATACAAATACAAATTGACAATTTTGTCTGTTTCTGTTTGGGTTGTACTGACATTTTGACATGTTTTTTCCTAAGAGCCTATGTTTGAGATATTATTCAGCCTAGGTGAAGACGCCTGAACTTCTTGGTTTTTGAGGACGTTTCACCTCTCATTCAAAGGGCTTCTTCAGCTCTAAAATGCTTGCTGGGAAGTATGAGCTTATGAGCAGAGAGGTCCAAAACGAAGTAGTCCAGTTGCCCTTTACTCAAGCTCTTAAGTACTGAGTCTGTAAACTACATGTGCATTTTAAAGCAGTTTGCCTGTTTTTTTCTCGCACAGCAGGGATATAGGATTTGTTTTAGTTTTTTTTTAAGCCGTACAGTGAACACCTGCCTCCTTACACTCGCCACACACGTGCACCTACACACCCTCGTGCGTTTGTGTTCCTTTAGATGGGCAATGTGTGCTTACACCTTAACTGTATCCCCTCTGGCGTGTTGAGTAGCACCTTAGATTACCATGCGCTGTGAAATTACCCACCTCCTCGGCAAGCGGCAATTATATGCTCGAAAAAGCATGCTGACCACGTGCCATGGCAGCCGTGTGCGCCTGAGAACGATTAGCCACATCAAAGAGGCATGCCTCAAAGGTGGCACGGCTTATCAACTGATCATTTCCCCCCCCCACCCTCTTTTGGGTCTCTTGTCTGCGGCCCTGCAGGAGAATGCAGTGAATGGCGATCACCTGTGGATGGAAACCAGTTGTTCAGGGGAGCTGTGTTATCTCGGAGAGGACGCTTGCCTGCTGAAGACTGCAGTGAGTAGCCAACAGTTGGTACTGAACACTCCCCGGCGTTTTTGTTACAGGATCAAAAACAATGCCAGCGGACTGTCCAATGTCTCTTTTGTTTGTAGGACCTTGCCTGTTTTTTATGCTTACACCTATATTGTAAATGTAATTATGCTGCATGTAATAATAATAATAATAATAATGCGACTTTGACAAAATTAGAAAAAAGGTCCAATCGAGTATTGTCATTGTTGATAACCATCCATCCATCCATCCATTATCAATGCCGCTTATTCCCTCATGGGGTCGCGGGGGGAACTGGAGCCTATCCCAGTGGTCAACGGGCGAGAGGCAGGGTACACCCTGGACAGTCTGCCAGTCCATAGCAGGGCCACACACAGGACATACAACCACTCACACTCACATTCACTCCTAAGGGCAATTTCCCCAATCTCCAATCAGCCTAACATGCAGGTTTTTTGGACTGTGGGAGGAAGCCGGAGAACCCGGAGAGAACCCACGCAGACACAGGGAGAACATGCAAACTCCACCCAGAAGGGCCCTGGTTCCCCCGGGATTCGAACCCAGAACCCTCTTGCTGGGAGGCGACAGTGCTAACCACCACACCACCGTGCCGCCCTGTTGATAACCAGTGAATCAAAAAAAGGGAGGTTTATTTAGACAATACAACGGAAAGCACGGCTGGGAGGGAAACCAAAAATTAATCATCAAGCTAAAGAAAATACAAAATTCTATAAAAACAAAAGCTAGACAAGTAAAACTTGACTAGCAACGTGGATGAGGACACTTTTACCGAAAGCGAAAAATTGTAATATCAAATTCCAACTCAAATTTCAAACCACAAATGAAGGCAAAGACTGCAAAAAACACAAACCCACAGACCTCCTAAACAAAGAAAATCAGAACAAACTTTAAAAAAAACATAAGCTATGAGAAGTAAATCTCAATTAAATCTAAATATTATCAGTGAAATATTGTATATATTCCCCTATCCGAGTATTTATGTTCACTTAATCCCTCCAAATACTCAGAGTAGTTTAGAATCAGCACAGTTATCACAGCGATGTCTTTTCACTGTATGGAGGTCAGATTCACGTGACTGTGTTTTCACTATCATTTGAAATCATCCAGTAAAATTGCTAGATTGAATGGCTTTTCCAATGGTGGTTAAACGGCCAAGCAAAGCACAGGCGTTAGATTGAGTTCAGTTTTAAAACACAGGGGCTGTGAGAGCTCCTTCTGAAAGCCCTCTGGAACCATTTTGTGGTGCTCTTCCCGTTATTGAAATAGAGAATGCTACAGTCTTTCAGTCTCAAATGCAGTTTCTGGTTTAAACCATGGCCACAAAGGCTGCCCCCGAGAGCCGACAAGCGCCAGCAGGCAGGGCCGGGGATAAAGTGTAGAAATTGTAGGTATTATGAACCTTTTGTCCATCGAAACACCTCTAACAGAAAGAATAGCACCTGGAGTTGAGAGCTACATCTGCTATAATGAGGTATCTGGATACCACTTTCAGTTGTGGGTAATTACAGTGAGAACATCCTGAGGCTGCTGCCAATAGGCAACAATAAATTCACAGTAATCACTATGGGATTCTTTTAATTAGATAAATACTACGCGTCCAAAAGGCTGTAGAAACCTCAGTTAAATATGAGACTGCTTTGACAGGTAATGCTGGACAAGACGAAGATCATTCTCGCCTGTGGTTGGCTCGATAGGACTAATTTATCTCCAGCCGTGAAGGCTTTATACCCACCTCTGAATTTAGTGTGGGACAACTACTGCCGAGACGTCCACCATTTAGATTGTTTATTGATTTAAGAAAGGCTAGATTAGTCCATTTGTTTTCTAAAAAGCTTTGAGTTTATATGAATGATTCCTCAGGTTCTTTTAACCTTTTAAAAACTTATAAAAAAATATGAAATTGATAAAGATATTTAAATTTTTATGGTTTGTGGTTGATTGAGCTTTTAAATGTATGATTTGATGTTATGTAGAAATATTATAAAACATGTAATAAAAATGACATTTTGTAGCGGAATACTCATGGAAATTATATTATTGAACATAAGCAGTTTTGCAATAATTGGGAGGAATTTGTGGCCTTTTCAACCACAAATTACTTTAAAAAATGCTTTTAAACTTTCTTACTAAACAGATTTCATTATATTGTTTCAACACCTTTTTGATTTGAGAGGAAATAAAAAAAATAAAAAACAACGGCCCTCTTCCATTCCACGTATCCATAGCAACAAAGAGTATAAAGTTGCTTCTTCACTGAAACCCTGGCAGCTTACATTTCCGAAGAAAAAGAAAGTTTTGCCACTTAAATGTGACGCATGTCTTCCTACAGCATGACGACATGAACCGTTAACTAACAGGGTGTGTTTCATGATGAGCGATAAGCACTTAGCTGTTAATTATTGCTCTCTGTTACAATTCAGAGTGAACCCTCTGACTGTAGATGAGCCGGCTCCGATATTAGCTGTCACATCATTACTCATAACGAGTGGTTTGTCAGTTGTAAGAACCAGGGCAGCAGTGCCATTTTATTCATTGATGGCAAATTGCAATTTGGCATCCTGAGTGCTTGCTTTTATTTGGCCCCGTCACTCTGCAAAATAAATGACTTTGGCTTTTCCCGAGCGTCCCGATCAAGTCTTTCATGCGCCTCTCGGTGATGCTTTTTGCTTTGTAGACCTGCGCGTGCTTTAGTCAGGCTTTAGTGTAGAGAAGAATAAGAACGCCACTTAGAAAGAGACCGAAATACTTGAATAAAGAAGCTAATGAAATCAAGAAAAACAGGGAAACAATAGCAAGAATGCCTTAAAATGTGTCCTCGCAATAATTAGAGGGATAAAAGATAAAAAGTGCTGAGGGAGAGATAATGAAAAATGTTTTTTTTTCTATTCGTCATTCACAGCAGTCACTGGCTGAATTCATTGCTTTAAATTAGGTAAAGAGGATGGATATTAGGGCCAGCAGCCTGTTAAATGTGAATTATTCTATTAGAATATAGCAAATAGTTTAAAACTCCTTGTGCAGTGATGATCCACAGACAGAGTCTGTTCTTTAAAAATCAGATTGTGTGCTAGTGACCACTGTTATAAAACTACATTCTCTGTGAAATGTAAGGTACTTTTAAAGCACCGCCACTGTGTCGAGCCTGTAAAATCTCACTATACCTTCAGACAGCGGTGGAAAATGACACGTTCAATAGCGAGTGTGTTAGATTGCGTGTCTCACTCCACCTTGTACGTTCTGTATCTCCTTTAAGAAGTCAGCACCAAGGAAGAAATGCGCCGCCTGTAAGATTGTTGTTCACACTGGCTGCATAGAGCAGTTGGAAAAGGTACAGCTCACACAAACACACAGCTCCCTCATCCATCACGTCCGACAGTTATTTCTGAGGAATTAAATCTCTTACAGAATCGTTTCCGCCGAATTTAGTTGAAACGAGAGCGGGCAGGCGTGACCGTGTTCCTCTGTTCTCTTTAGATTAACTTCAGATGTAAGCCAACCTTCAGAGAGGGAGGATCGCGGTGCCTCAGAGACGTGAGTGTGTTTTCCGTGGTTGGGAGTGTGAGAACGCGGTAATGGCCGTAAGCGAATTAGAGTGGAATCGTAGCCTATGTATGTGAAAGGAAAATCTTTGTCTCCCCGATGACAGAACGTACTGAGACATCACTGGGTTCACAGGCGAAGACAGGAAGGCAAATGTAAACAGTGTGGAAAGGTTAGGATACACACACACACACACAGAAATATATTATACAGACCATTGTCAGGCCATTTGATTGTGTTGTCACTTGTTAAACAGTCATGGTTGTTCTTTGTTTCTTCAGAGTTTTCAACAGAAGTTCTTCCACAGTAAAGAAATCATCGCCATCAGTTGTTCCTGGTGTAAACAGGCTGTAAGTAATTCATCTGCATCAATCAGTGTAAAAGCACTCAGTTGACCAAGCTTTACATGAGTTTGTGCAATTTGGATGTTATTTAAAAATATATATATTTCTGTTCATTAATCCAACTGTGCTTCAGTGTTCGTAAAAAAGCTGTCTCCCCTCACCAGCGCACATTTGTTAATTATTTGATATGATTATAAAATGATTATGGCTTCTTTTTATAAGGTGTGATCCGACAGCTTTAATTTGATGTTGTTTAAATCCATTTAGAGAACATCTCCCCTGTACAACTCTTTTTTTAGTAACATGAACGGCAAAATGAGAGCTGTTTCGTGGACAGGAGCGGAATGTTTCTCTATTTTTTTTCTTTCTTTCTTTTTCCCCCCCTGTCCATTCATCGGCTTAAAGTTTGAAGTTTATTCATAGCATGATATCTATTTTTGTGAACTCTTGATTTGACTCCACAAATCACAGCCAAAGCTCTGGATACAAGTAAAACAGGCCAACTGTCAGCTGCACATTTAGATAAATTCTTCAGAGAGATAACAGGAAAGTTTTTAAAGAAAAATAATTTAATTGAATTTTTTTGTGTGTGATTGACCACAAGGTTCTAAAGCTGCTTTGTTTTGGTGTTTTTTGGCAGTTCCACAACAAGGTGACATGTTTCATGCTGCACCAGATAGAAGAACCGTGTTCACTGGGGGCGCACGCCGGAGTCATAATACCACCCTCCTGGATCATCAAAGTCCGGAAACCACAGGTACACACACACACACACACACACACACACAGACAATACAGAGCCTCCTCACCCGTCACTCCTGCAGTTAATAAAGTTCACGAGCTGTCATGTTGTGACTGTAATCAGAACTGACTTTGTTGAATCTAAATTTGAAAAGCGGGCTGTCACAGGCTGTGTTGATGCGTGTGCGATCTTCCGATATGATGTGATATGAACTGACTCGTGTCTGATCCGTCTGAGGGGAACTTGGAGCATCTCTGTTATCACACACACACATGGGCGCGTGCACGAATGCGTCCCACCGTCGCATCACATGCTTCGCTGCACTTTAAATCAGCGTCACAACGGACATGGTGACAGCGAACTAACCATTGAACTCTGTGTGTCTGTACCCCCAGAGCTCTCTCAAGAACTCAGCCAAGAGAAAAAAGCGGACATCGTTCAAACGAAGAACGAGCAAGAAGGGGCTGGATGTAAGTGGCATTATGAGGCTCTGTAATTTTTCATCCATTCATTAGATATTCGAAATGCTTCCACTGACAATCTAGACTGACGTGTAGTGATTTGGTTAATAGCTAATGATCTCTTTTCAGTTTGTCTGAAAATCTGAGGTCCTTATAATGTGGATAGTGCATACGTCTGATCACCTTAGCAGCTTTTACTGCACAGCAAGATGGAGATTTCTTAGATATGTAAGCTTAGTACGTACGCTTAGCTAAAAAAGCCTCAACAGGTAGGACCAGGTTCTGTTTCAGATATGCCTAAAATATATTTGAACCGCCCAGGTCAGAAGGGTCCTGATAAACGCACGAAACAACTTACCTACTTCGTCCCCCTTCCGAAATGGCCCTATCTCCTCGCACCCACTCTAAAAAGCAACAATCAGAGAACAGATATTAAGGAGCAAGGCAGGAACTTTCATCGGTCTATCAAAAGTGTTCCAAACAGAGCCAGTCAGTGCAGAAAGTGGCTGTATTGCACAGCTGCTATCATGACTTTACCTGGTTTTCTTACATCTAACCACAGGTTCATCCTACAGCGTGTTTGTTTTGTCCTAAAAGTAATCCTGATCCCACAGAGGGTGTGTATATGTGTGTGATCCATGACACTGCAAATGCTCCAAGCTTAAACGAAATGGTGTTCTCGCTATGGTCATTTTTTATTACGCTACCTTCTAATGGAGTTGTCTGATGAACAGTCACGCTATCAACATCTCTGGATGCAAGGTCGATAGCCTAAGAGTTTAAGGCCTTGGAGCACGTTGTGATTCTTGAGAGAAGAAAAGCCCAGAATCAGTGCATTAGCGGTGTTAGACAGTGGGCAGAGGCAGGTGTGGTGAAGGAGCCGTCTGAAGAGCACTTCAGAGTAGGGCCGTCATTCAGGGTGGCTGTATTTCAGGATGATTTCAATCAGCTGCTAATTATCAGTTCTTTGATATGCTGAAGTGTCCTGTGTTGAACCTCACATAGCCTGTAACATGAAATAGGCGACAATGTACAGTGTGAATGGGGGGTTTTTGTTTTGTAGACATGCTCTGATAGAGAGGGGGGGGGTTTATTGACAAGAATGTTAAACAAAAGACGATCAAAACAAATTGATTTCTGTTTGATACAAATTTTTGTCGGCTCTGTCCTCGGTCCTCCCCTTTAGGATTCCAAATGGCGTCCATTCATGTTGAAGCCCCTCCCTTCTCCTCTCATGAAACCCATCTTGGTTTTTGTAAATCCCAAGAGTGGGGGCAACCAGGTGAGCAGATGTTTTCGTCCTCTGCCTCCATCAGTTAGACACCTGCAAACAGCCTGTATTGTCCCTTACTGTCACTCTGATATAAATTAGCCTGTTTTCTTATTTATATGTTCTGTTGCCTTTCTTTCTGTTTATACATACCTTCCCATTATCATATAAGATCATTAAGTTTTTTTTTAATTGAGAAATGGCAGGTTTTGTGTTCCAATATCTTCGTCATTCTATCATTATGCCAAATGAGATTTATGCTTTAACACTAATCCACATAATAACTACAGAATTTTTTGAGGTTGACTGAGATCTTTGTGATTTTAAAGGGTGCCAAGCTGTTGCAGATGTTTATGTGGATCTTGAACCCCCGACAAGTGTTTGACCTGTCCCAAGGTGGACTGCGAGAGGCGTAAGTAGCTTTCACCCCTGGGATATGGGCATATCTTCAAACTTAAATCTAAGCCTCTTTTATTCAAACACAAAGCTCATGACTTCAGCCATTATCATGACAGCGGAGTAGCTAACACGCGTCGCTCAGCTTTGTCCATTTTGTGATTTGTCAGGTTGGAGTTGTATCGCAAAGTGCCAAATTTAAGGATCCTCGCCTGCGGAGGAGATGGCACGGTCAGACTTAATTCAGCCGCTGTAATCGTCGTGTCCCATTCCACCTTTTGCGCGGCTTATGCTTCTGTGGTATGTCCCTCCATAGGTGGGGTGGATCCTGTCAGCTCTGGACGAGCTGCAGATGAATCCCCAGCCTCCGGTCGCTGTGCTTCCTCTGGGAACAGGAAATGACCTCGCCAGGACGCTCAACTGGGGCGGGGTGAGTTACTAGCCTTGACTTTTGTCACAAAGTTTGAGAGCAAGCGACAGGACGCATCAGTCTGTGCCCCTTCCACTCATTCATTTAAAGTCCTTCCCAAAAACATGTAAAAAAGTCATGTATTTTCTGCATATATGGGTGTCTGCATGAAGTAAAGAGATAATATTGAACAGCATTTACGTCAAGTCGATCCATACCATGTTTAAGCAAGATTTATAAGACCAAAATGGAAAAGAAACTAAACAAAAAACGTCAGAATTGTAGCCGTGCGCATTTTAGAAAAAGCCCTGATTCTCAGATTCTGTGAAAATACATTCAGTGTTTACCACTCCAACTCCCTTGGGTGCTACAGTGTTACTCACTCACATTCCAGGATGTCTGAGCCCTCTTCCTGTTCATGTCATCCTCTAAGCCCTGACATTTGACCCCCATTTGACCGCCTCAAAGCACAGCCCACCATGTCACACAGTTGTTGTTTACGTTATGGTAGTTTCCTATCATTCATTTTCTCCACTTCTTGTCAGTTAAATTACTTTTGGGTCACACAGTCTGCAGAACATCAAGGACATCCGAGCTGCAGACATATGCAGTGTTTACAAGAGCGCGTATTAAGGGAAATATGCTGGATTTACATAGGTTAACAACCCACCAATGGAAAAACATGCAGGCAATCTGCAGAGAGTTTTCAAATTTATTGGTGAAATTTCCAAATTGCTTCTCTGCTTTTTGAATAAAGATGCAGAATTTTAATCTATCTTGAACAAATAAACAAATTAAATAGTTGAATGCCTTTTCTGTGAGAGGGCCCAGCTTTTGCTTAAATCTTGATAAGCAGACACTGATAGTGGAGGCGAACTGGAGGCGTTTGAAACCCGTGGGCAGGTCGAAGTGCACTTGTTTTGAAAGAAATTTCTCAAATATCTGTGAGTGGTTTTGACTTCCCCTCTGTAAGGAAGTACAACATTTCTTCTGAGAAAAGGAGCCTCTTACTGTTAAAAAAGTTGGCACACGCGCGCATTGTGTAACTTCACTGCCATGAGACGTTTTACACGCGCCCACATGCTTACTTTGCTCCCCACTTGAGGTAGATTTATAGACTTTTAGCGATGATAAAACTTCAAATGGGCCTCAGAATGAGTTAGAAATGCCAGTAAATAAGCTTATGAGAGTAGCCTGTTCCTTTTTCTTTTTTTTCCCCCAATTGACTACGACAATACATGATTTGAATAATCCGTGCTGACAGTGTGAGTAGTCGTAGGACGACGGCGTAAGACTTTTTATCAACGCTGTTCATCTGTGTGAGAGTGAACCAAGTGCGAGAGTACTGTGCTCCACAGTCTCGGCGCACGCTGTGCCAATGGAGCGAGGACGTCAAAATGACTGTGTCAGCTTCCTGACGTACAGCGAGATGGAGCGCTGCGAGAACAGACCGGACTGAGTGAAAATGTGTCTCTGCCATGTGTCTAAGTGCTTTGCCCTTTTCGTCCTCCGGGTGTTTCGGACCTCACATTTCTCTCCGCTTCCTGTGCGTTCGCATATTTTCGGTTCCCTCCCTGACCCCGCTCCATCTTTTTCTTTTAGCCTTTTTCCTTTCCCGGGTTTCACTTTTTTCCTCCCGTTTCCTTACTTTTTCACTCGTGTTCTCTCCCTTTTTGTGCACTTCCTCTTCTATTTTTGGCTTTTTCATTGTCCTCCTCCTCGCTTTCTGCTCCTCCTTTTCCTCTCTGTCCTCCTCTCATCTCTTTCTAACACTCTGTTGTGTTACTCGCTGCATCTGTTCACCCCTCTGTGTGAGTGTGATTGTCCCCGTGACGTGCTGTCGGCCCGCGAGCTCTGCTGTGAGTGCATGTGTCCTCGCGTTACACGCGTTCTGGGGACATATCTGTTTGTAAACGTATCTGCTTACACCACATCTCCGAATTCTCACGCTACGAAAGAACAAAACCGTCGTCAAACGAGGGGGCAGATTAAACGTTTCCGACGGACATTTTGTGCGCAATTTTCAAAGAAAGGAGCTGAACCCATGTCCCGCGAAGTGGTGAAAGCCACGACTGTGTCTGGCAGGACCTCAGAGGAGACCCCGCTGATGAGCTCTGTCGTCATCGGTTCCTTTTCCCCTACGTTTGTCCTTGCCACGTTTTTGTTTGACCGACCCCCGTCCAGGTGGAAGCGGGGAATCAAAAGTTTTCAGCATAGGTAGAAAGAGTAGCAAAAAAAAGAAGAAGATTAGACCTGCCTAAGTGACAAATGAGATAGGAAGGGAGTCAAAGATGATTGATGGAGGCGAAAAAGAGGCAGATCATGCGGTGAAGTGGCAGGTGCGAAGTCTTTTCCTTTCAAATCTACCTTGTACGCCCTGTGTTCATGTTAGTAAGGAGGGGAATACTTGTCAGGAGAGACAAGAATCAAGATCATAAAGCAAGGTCACAATTTTTGTACATCTTACTGCATTTTCTGTCGAGACAAGTTATAGTGCCTTTACATTGGGGTGCATTCAAGTTCAGGAGCTGTTAATTACAATTGCGACCAAAGGAACAATTTTTTACGACTCTATTGGCCATTCTTTTATCCCTGGGATGTGAGGGTATTTCCTCGAATGAACCGCTCTCTTCCATCCTCTGAAGATTCGATTTACAGAGAGAAGGCTTGACATTTACCGCCTGGACATGCTTGTCTGATTGTGAATTATTTGTTCCGAAGAAATTCTGACTCAGACGGAGCAAAATGGCCCCAAACCGCGCTAAGCATAATCGCCAGGTTTCACAAAGTTCTCGTTTTAGATGTAGCGTTTCCTCTTAAGCAAACATGAAGCCTGTTTTTATTTTAGTCTAACCCCCTGTCTCACATAATCTTGAGCAAAGTGTATGGAGGCTGTTTTGTTTTCTTTGTTCATTAACATCCGCCCATGTAAGACTTTAGCTGCTTCCATGTTACTTCATAATCCCTCTTGACCTCATAGATCCTAGCATGCTTTATTCTTTTGGTGATCCATTTGTACACAGTTTGTCATATTTTGGGTTTAAAGGAGTTTTCCAAATACCAGCAACTCCCTCCCTAAAGTCCCCAGAAATCTCTTGTTTGTGCAGCTGCACAGGTTCAAACTATCAGACTTTAGGACTAATAAAAGCTATCAGGTTGCTATTTGAGAGGAATTCCTGTAGATCATCCATCCTGGAAAATGTAGAAAAATGTTGTGGACACTAATCTTTTTCTTTTTCCCCCCCACAGGGTTACACAGATGAACCGGTGTCCAAGGTTTTGTGTCACGTGGAGGACGGTTCGGTCGTGCAGCTGGACAGGTGGAACCTCCTCGTAGAGAAGAGTTCCTCTCAGCCGGAGGAGGGCACTCAAAAGGTCAGAAGTCGCGTTTGGATACCCTTGTGCACTCTGTGTGTAGTATAATTAGAAGACTATAGCAGCCTATTCAAAACACTGACTTTCACATTTCTACTGTGGCCGCAGCTTCCCCTGAATGTGTTCAACAACTACTTCAGCCTGGGCTTCGATGCTCACGTCACCCTGGAGTTCCACGAGTCCAGAGGTATGTATAAACTCTCTTATAACCTCTGACCCCTCATTCAAACCATAAAACTCAAAATGTGAAACACGTACAAGACACTCACCGTCTTTGTGCCATATTCAATTCGCTCTTCTTCTGTTTCTCTGCTTCCATATTTGCACGCGTCCAGAGGCCAACCCGGAGAAGTTTAACAGTCGCTTCCGCAACAAGATGTTCTATGCAGGAGTGAGTGTCCCACATTAAAATTATATGCACGCAGGGAGGAAAACATCTCCTTTTCTGTAGTTGTAATCACTCATACACTTGTAGGCAGGACGCAAAGTAAATAATGGAGGTTTAGGAAGAAGAAAAAAATAATCTGTCTTGTGTTTTAATTCTCTCTTTAAGCCATTTAGGAAAGTTTTAGGGTTATCTGGTCATTCATTGGTTAGTATCAACCTGTTGGTTAGTTCCCCCCCTAATGATTTAGATTTCAAATTATCCTTCAAAGGTTTTCTGTTGTTTTTCTTTTCCTGAGCTGTGAGCATCATGCCAGATGCATGAAAGTATCAGCATTTTTTTCTGACTAAAGCAAGAAGTGGTAAAGAAAACTTCAGTTCGTAGGTCTTCTAATCCAGGTGCCATTCTGAAAAATGTAAGCTGGAGCTGAGAAATAATGTGAGGGATTTTCAGCGGAAGTACGAAGAGGAGTTATTGCATTTTGATGAGGGAATTGCAATGATCTGTAATTCTGTTTGATTGGGCCCTTTTCTCAGTTTTTTGTGTGTGTGTGTGTGTGTGCACACACGTGGGTTTGTTTGTGCGTGCAGGCTGCCTTCTCAGATTTCCTCCAGAGAAGCTCCAGGGATTTGTCCAAGCACGTCAGAGTGGTGGTGAGTGTTAACACACTCTCTCTCAGCCAGTATCGTCTTCCATGTCGACATGTCTCGGCCGCAGGTCGGCCGAGTGATTAAACAGGCTGTCCTTCAACTTTCAGCCAGGCCTTTAAAGTCTTAGTAGGGCCACAACGCTGCTGCTAAGTAACTTGAACGCTGGTGGTAGCAAGAGCCAATTTACATTTAAAACAACAAAGAAAAAGGATGTTCAAAGACTTTGTTTTGTCCATTTAACAAATCCTAACACTAACTAGGATAAAAGCAAATGAAACACTGACATTAATTAGAGCGCTATACAGTTCATTAGACAGTGGGTTTTCAGTATTATGGATCCCCTGCTGCCAGCAGACCGCATTCATTAAAATTTCATGCTGACATTTTCTTGTTTCATTACGCCTTTGTCAACAAATCCACGAAAGGGCGACTTCCGACTCTCTTACCCTATCTCTTCCTCCACAGCATCAACTGTGCTGGTTCCTACAGAAGACATTCGTCTTTTAGAGGGGATATTGCATTTACTATGCCGCATGCATAAATGTGCTGTGTAATATCCTAAAACAGATAGGCAGCATGGTTATGATGACGGTGCATGTGTTTGCGACATGTACACTCTGCACACACGCGGTCCCGGTCATTTTGATGCTGCTCGCAGAATTCATGTCAGGAAGAATAGGGGGAAAAATCAACAGGCTAACCCTTTTAATGGGAGTAAAAGAGCCTCAGAAGAGCATGTTATGTTAAGTTTCCAACATTTTCTCCATAAAATAATTCGCCCTGAAAGGCAAATGAATACTGGAAGTCTCTTTCTCTGTTTAAGCTTAAAATTGTAAAATCGAAACTGGAATCTGGTCGAGCCGCGAGTCGGCAACCAGCACAGAAACGGCTTTCTTCCGATGTCAATTTATCCCTTTCTTTGTCTCTCCCAGTGCGATGGCACAGATTTAACACCCAAGATTCAGGAGCTGAAATTCCAGTGCATAGTGTTTCTAAACATTCCCAGGTAGGTTCACTCCTCCAGAAGTCAGGCAGCATAATCAACTGAACAACTATCACGTTTAATGGCCACAGCTTTTAAATATTTAACACTATTCAGTGTTTCTCATTATAGTGGACCAGCAACTGACTTAACACGAAAAATCCAACAGCCTTTATTTTTACTCATTGTTAATTAATGAGCGTTAGTAGTAAGGAAAATCCTGCATATAAAACACATTGCTTAATTTTTTTGTATATTATCACAGCTTCTTCTGCCTTTTGTTTCCAAGGCTTTTGAGTTGGTGAAAGGCTTAATTAGGTTGGAAAGAAAGGAGTCGTTAATTACTGTTTTGTCCCAAAAAATACACAAGGTTTTTCCACATTTGAAATGCTTGACACGTGTGCAGGTACTGTGCCGGCACCATGCCGTGGGGAAACACCGGCGACCATCGAGACTTTGAGCCACAGCGCCACGATGACGGCTGCATTGAGGTCATCGGCTTCACAATGGCCTCACTGGTGAGCAAAATAAATCAAAATCCACCTACAACCTCAGCAGGAGAAAGGGGAACTCGCAGACTTTTCTTCTTTAACCCTTTAATGGGTGTATTCTGATTAATTCAGTCTGGATGTTTTTTTCCAGTATTTCAGATTTTCTCAAAAATGAGTAAAAAATGTGTTCATTGAAGGATTTTTCCGGATGTCCACTCCAATGGACAGCATCCTTTTTTAGATCGGTTATTAAAGAATTACTGCACGTTTCAGTGTAAACATATTTTGACGTAAAGACCACTGGCTTTTAAACAGCTGCCCACTATAATGACCGCAACGCATGGAAAGATTGAATTTTCTCACGACTGACTTTTGAATCTTATTGCTTGTCCACCAGGCTGCGCTACAGGTTGGCGGTCACGGAGAGAGACTCCACCAGTGCAGAGAAGTCGTCCTAACCACCTACAAGACTGTACCTGTCCAGGTGAGCAGCGGCTCTGCGACCAGCCTTTAAAGCTGTTAAACTGATGAGGGATTTCTGTTAGATCACTTGTGCGCGTGTGGGAAAACATTGTTTATAGACAGAAAGGTCGAAAGTTGTTTTTTTTTTCTCCCTGAAGATTGATGCTCTCTCATCATTTGTGGTGGTAATGATAATTCTTACGTTTATCATCCAGGTATTCGTTCAAAGTTTGTGAATTTATATGTTGCCTTTCTCCCATTACTATTAAATCAAGGGTTCCTTAAATGTGAAAGTCCCTTAGGTTTACATTGATGAGATCAGCTCGCATAACTTTGATCTTTTGTGCCTTCGACAATCAACGTTTAATGTTCCGGCAGGTTGACGGTGAGCCGTGCCGCCTGGCTCCATCCACCCTCCACATCTCCCTTCGAAATCAGGCCAACATGGTCCAGAAGTGCAAGAGACGCACCTCAGTGCCCCTGCTGAACGAGTGAGTCACTCCAACACACACGCACACACACACACACACACACACACACACACACACATGCATATAGTTGCAGGAACTAGGCCAGCAGTGTTGTAAAAGCCTGGTTTGCACTTAGTGAATCATACAGTCTGTTTATTGAGCTGACATTCACTCCTCTCAGTGTTCCTCATCTCCTCAGCTCGCCAAGCCACAGTCAAAGGTGGGAACTGTAATGTTGTCCCACTCCAGTTAGCGACAACGGCAGCACCAGGTTCATCTCCAGTGACACGCTGACATGTAATTCACTCTGCTTTTTCCCCTTTACTCTGGGAGCTCGGCAGAGTTGCGTTGACAGGATTCTGGGGTGAAGCAGCAGTGCCCTTTTTGTGGCTGCGTGCTGTTTAGAATTCCTGAACCTTGTGGCTACTAACTCTCCTCCATCCCTGTTACTAATACTAATAGCTCTTCTTGTATATCTTTGTCTATATACGCGTGAGTCTGTTCAAGCTACTGTAGATGTGCATGCAAGAAAGAAAAGTAGGTCGTAATTACTAATATTTAGTGTCACTGCTACTGCTGTGCAACTGTACTCTGTGCTATCAATGTTTGTCTACTTACCTTTTGGGCTTTTCTCCGTCTGTCCCTCTTCCTGTCCTTCTAATTTTTTTTTGGGGCCAAATCTTTATTCACTTTCACTTCTTATTAATTTATAATTTTCATTTGTTGCCTTAACCTCTTCTTTTATTCCCTTTTTTTCTCCTTTACTGTTGTCCTTTCTTTTCTTTTCCCCGTCCCACCTCAATTTTCTTCCCTCACCTCACCTCCCCTCATCTCCTCTCCTCCCTTCTTTATTTCTTCCTCTCCCTTTCACACCGCCATACATCCCTCTTCTCTTCTGTTTGTGTGTGCGTGCGTGCGTGTGCGGCCGTAGTATTCAGAAGGTGTGTGCAGCTGATCTGCGCCGCCTCTCTGCTCCCCCCGACTCCTTCTCTGTGTAAGTACCTCAACCCTCTGTCACTGAATGTTTGTGTTTGTGTGAGAGAGCGAGGAGCTGCTATTGTGTCCTGTTTTGTCCATCGAATTTGACCAATCTTTCGGTAGATTTTTGCCAACACCAGGCAGGGTTTTAGTGGATATAATGCCGTTTGACGGAATATATCAGCATTCCCCCCCCATCTTATTGTACACCACACCCCCAGCATTATAGGAAGATCAAACGTGCTGCGGTGACAGTGGTGAGTTTGATTGGTAGGAATGATCCTCCAAAGAGAATTACACCATCACTGCACCCCCACCTCACTCTTAAAAATTAGCTGTATTCAAGTTTTAGGTAAAAGTTTTGAAGAATGCAGTCAGTTTTAATAGATTTTGTTTATTCATACAGAACCAGAACTGATTAAGCCTCTTGGATGAGAGGCAAAAACATCTTCTAGAAAACTTCACGTCCAGTTCCCTAACTGAACTTTCCAGGCCAGAACCAGAAACCATTATCACTGTTGAAGAATCTGGTTTTGAAATGAGCGAAATACAGGATGAAAAACACTTAAACAGGGCTGCATTATACATTAGACAACACTTTATTTCACCTCCGGCAGAAATCTACAAATCTGACTAAAAAACACCTACCTTTTTTTTTAATTCTCTCTGTCACTGATGAATAAGCCTCTTAAGGCAAAAACAACAGTATTCAGGGATGAATGTATCCTGAGCCTCCTTCATAATCTCACGTTTGCTTTAAAGAGTTGTTATATTACAAAGGGCTGCTGCTCAAGGGAAGTAGTTGCAATATGTGGGGTTGATGTTTCCCCTAAAACCTCTAGGCATGCAAAAGTGTGAATTTCAAAACTTGCAAACAACTGCTTGCATACAAGACCTAAAAATGCATATATTTAATTTCGGAAACATACAGGCTGCTTTCAGATATTTGGGCAATCAAATATTAGCAGATGTACTCATTTGAGGACAAACAATTCCTAGGTAATATTCTGGGAACCTTTCCTGGAGATGCCCTAAAAGTTAAACACTTTTTTTTTGCTTCGAGGACCACATTTTTTTTTAAATCTGTTTTTCCAGATGTCAAATTATTCTTTTTCTGCTTTACAATTTTCATAAAAGGAAGAGGTAGTTCAAATTTCCCGTAGCGTGTTTCAAAATCCAAATTGTATTAAATTTATGATGATTTTTTAATGTAAATAAAAGGAAGTATTAGAATTAGAATTCTAAAACCAAAAATAAACAATGCAGCGATGAGTCGGCATATTTTAGGAGGGCCGAATTTATTGACTGGAAACGCCTTAAAACAGAGAAGTGAAAGGAACGACGACTAAATATATAAAATGTTATTCAAATATTGGTCAAACCCCGCTGTGCCCTGTTGACTGTCAGTTTCTGTTGTGTTGAATGTGACAGAAAGAGAGATCGAGTGTATGGCAGCATGCTAAAGTCTTCCACTTCTCAGTGTGTGTCTGCCTTTTTCTCCGTTTACCTTTAACTTTACCCCGAGCTCTGCTCACATTATACCTGCATTCACTTTATTTCTTTACCTTTAACACAAAAAAACCAACTCCGTGTTATGCTTCATTGTTTCCTCTGAGAAATCAAATTTGACTCAAATTTGAGCCCTCTTTTTGTTCTTTTCCACTCTTGGGGACAGGAAGTCACCTGACTCCATCCTAACTGAAGGCAGTGTTTCCTTCCAGCATCAGTTTCAATTGTGTTGCCATGTCTTGATGTCGCACAAAGGATATTAGGGCTCTTTACATTAAAACGGTCAACGCCTGGAATGAATTTTCCACCTTTTTTTCCAACCTCCTCTTATCAGAAACATTCATTTCTAGCCGAAAATTGAAAAAATGAAAAAAAAACGAAGAGAGGGAATGTTAAATGTTGCAAACTCTCTCACTGGAGTTTAGATTTGGTTTGTGATGTGTGCGTGTCCACGTGTGTCTGTGCGTGCATGTATGCAAATGTTTGCCCCTCTCATTGTGTGCTTGGGCATGTCTGAATCGTGTGCGTGCACGTACATGCACCTTGCGTGTGCTTCTCTTCCAGTCCGCACGCCGTGCCCGATCGCCTCCGCCTTCGAGTGAACCGGATCAGCCTCCAGGAGTACGACAGGCTGCAGTATGACAAAGAGCGGCTACGAGACATCTGTAAGGACCTGAAACCCTTTGCTTTCGGTTCGTTCCGGCCAAATATTGTGGTGTTTTTATTCTCAGGAACCTTTAGGATGGCCAACACGTACTTGCTGGGTTGGCAGTGGTTGGTTTTAGTAACTTCATGTAAACTGTTTGTACATTTTTCTTTTAGTTTGCCGCCACCAAGTGGTTGAAAATGTGGCTCTTCTGTGTGTCATTGCCTAAACTGTGCATTCGTATGTTTAACAGCAATCCCAGTCGGTATTGTGGTGGTGAGAGGAGACTGCGACCTGGAGACTTGTAGACTCTATATTGATAGATTACAAGAGGCAAGTCATCATCGCTCCCGTCATCATCGCTTTTAGACCCTTCTCACCACTTCTCCTCCCGTCTGTTCATCGTTGTTTCATGATTTCCACCCTCCACCGACTTATACATAGATGAATGCCGCGAGAATGCACAGCTGGTCTGTAACTGCGTGTCACTAATGTAAACGTGTGTGAGTTTGTCTTCTTTTTCCACGTGAATGCTTTGGCTGCTTGCTAACCTTGATGCCTGTCTGCTGTGCTTGCTAGGACTTGCATCAGGCACCAACTACTGGCCACAGAGTGCACTACCAGGTACATGACTTTCTGCACGTGTATGAAAGCTCAGAGACAGCTCTGACATCTAGCTGATATTTCTACGTGTTACATAGTTTATCAGAGATTACTTTTGCTTGTGTAGTGGAAGCTTAAAGGAGCTTCCTCTGAAAAAGGTCGCTCTGTATTTTTAAATTGTCTTCTTTATCAAAAAAAGAAATCCCTGGAAAAGATGTGGCCTTCAGGGCAGCATATGATACAACTGCAGTTGTAAAATTTTGCACAAGCTAGAAGAGAGAAGAATTTCAACATTGCTAACTGGTAGTATCTGAGCAATATTTTGATATACATGTTAAAGAAAAAGGCTGTTGACTGACTGCAAAACTACAACTAAAGATAAACTGATAGAAAGTTTTTGTAAACTAGGGGAGTTCCAGCTCAACCTAAATTGTCAGCCATTTTGGGGAATTTTTCATCCGCTGGACATTCAACATCTAAAAAATCAGGAAAAAATGTGATGGTTTGCTGATTTTGAAAGTTGGTCTCATCTGCTTTTTTACAATTTATCAATATGCCAGGATTTTCACATTTCATCCTAAACATAAAAATGTATGGGTTATAACCGTAAAGCTTCTGACTCTTTATTATTACGTAGCAGTTGTACTCAGGCATTAAGGATTCCAAGTGATAAAGAGTTTCAAAGGTTCACTTTTCCAGTAATCTTCTTCTTTCTTTAGACGTGTGGTTTTGCATGGTGTTGTTTAAAAAGCGAGTGTGAAACTGCTATCTAGATTGTCTTTGTTATGTTATGCGCTATGCAACTCTTAATACGATTTTACACATTTCCCAGTGCCCTTTTTAACTCGGCTTTGTGAGGAATTAAATTCTACAAATTCGGCAGGAGCTTTTTCATCATTACTTACATGTCTTTGTTTTCAGGATGAAAACCGAGGCGTCCCCAGAACCAGTTCAGCCAGTCGACTCTCTCCCAACTGGAGTTTCCTAGATTGTGAGTTCCTCAAAGCTTTTTTTAGAATGAGGAATTAAAACACAGCTAATGACCATATTAGAGAAGTGGTTTCATATGAATTGTACAGCAAAAGTTAAAGGTTTATTGTATTTCTATGTATTCTATTTCTGTCCCTTAGCCACTTCAGCTGACCGCTTTTATCGCATCGACAAGGCTCAGGTGAGCAATGATCAGTTGCATTCAAGTCACGGCGCCGGTGATTTGGTTTCTGCTGCTCACTCTGCCGTTGTCCCGCTCTGACTTTACAGGAGCACCTCCACTTTGTGACAGAAATATGTCAGGATGAGGTGTTCATCCTGGACCACGAGGGACCCATGGGGAGCCAGGGCTCATCAGCCGGGATGCCAGATCTGGTGGTGGAACCCACGGCTGGGTAAGACAGCAGACATTGAACACATTTCTCCCATTTCACCCGCATTTATAGGCGACTGCTACTGTTTGTTAATATCGTTTAAGGAGGCTAACATCAACTCAGTCTGTGTTGGTTCCTTTGCTACCTCTTTTGGGAGAGATACTCCAGCTTTTTCCGACATGCTTAAAGTTTGCCCAAAAAAAAATCCTCATTGACCCTCTTCTGTTCCTCCTTATGCACATGTAGCTGGTGGGATAGAATCAACTGAGTGGTGATTGCTCCGTTTGTTAGTGGCGAGTTCCGTGATTCAGCCTTCACTTATTAAAGTAGACTTGGAGTTGGATTATTTCGCCTCTTTTTGGAGGTTCAGATTTAGCTCTATTTAACCCTTTATTTCACATATGATACATTACTCAACAATGGGTTGTTAGCCCATGCTTTGAATGCTCATGTGAAAGCTGGCTCTAAAGTGAAGCAACACTGTGCTAAATGTCCCTATTAGATCATCAGAAATGATAAATCTATAATGAAAATATAAAATTTGTATTCTTTGCATGTGTCCTTGAATAAGTTTTAACTCAATACAAAAAATATAAACTACCTTTTCATCTTTTAGTACATGATTTAGTTGAATGCATTTACATTTATTTAGATGATAAATTACTAATGTATTAATCTCTGAGACAATATCTCATACACAAATTCGGGTCTCATTAATAACGTTTTATGTGTGCAGGGCTCGAGCTGTAGGGGGAGCCAGTCAGTTAAATATTCAACCATCAGCCTAAACAAAAACAAACATTTCAAAAACATTTAGATTTTTTAAAAATGCTACCTTTCAAACAGAATATTAATGGATGGTAAAAAAAAAGAATAGAAAGTGGATACAAAGATTTTATACATTATATTAAACTGATATGAAGGTAGGCTGAATGAAAGCACTCAATCCCTGAATGAGTGATTACTGTAAAACCTCTGACTTCGTGTTCATCAGAATGTTGACTGACTGATTATCTAACAGATTCTAAAAAATAGATTACATCACCAAATATCATGTGGGTGCTTTATGCATGTATGTATGTATTTAAAAATAATAAAAATGGCGCTAAATAGATGTATAGACAGAAAATTGAAAAAACGATTTCTAAGTAGCTACTGGTTTTATATAAGGTATTATCTCCATAAGGTAGCCTTATATTACATCATCTTTATTCTCTTCTTGCAGTGCTCCTTTGACACCTGATGAACAAGGTATGATGCACACTGATGTACACACCCATAGACATGACACATGTATGTGTTTTTTTAATGTGCAGACATTTTTTATGCGTCTGAATTGACTAAATTCATTTTTCTGAACTTAGATCATCAAGTTTTGCTTCTCTTGGCTTTTCCTTGTTCTTTCTGAAGCATATTTAAGCAGGGTTCACTGTCTCTTTGAAGCATAGCGTCTGGGGTTGTAAAGTTGATAAGATTTAAGTCCTTTAACACTCCTTCACTCTTAGCATTGTTTATTGGTTGTCCTGTTAGTTGTGACGCCCTGGAATACCTGGGACTTTTTGTTTACCAGAATTGTTGCTCTTCCTCCCATTTTGTTCCTGTTCCTGTTTAGTTTCATTTTTAAAAGGGATACATTTCTGTTCTGTACTTGTTTTCCTTGTTTCAATTTCATTACATGGGTATGGTTTGAAAACCTTTGGCTAACATTCCATAAAGGTGCACTCAAAAGTTTGTAAGTTAAGTTCAAATGTTTGTACTTAAACAACTGAAAGATCGCTGAATGTTCTGGGCTGTGTTGTTACCTAGAGCACGGGTTAACACAGGTCACTGAGTCAGATGTGTCAGTCAGGTGAATGGTTTGAAAGTGAAACAAAAAGTTTAAGCGTCCCACGTGAAACAAACATTTGTCAGCAGCACTTCAGAAAAGTGGGAAATACTTTGTCAGCTGTGTCCCAAAAGACGGTTTTCTGACATCTGTCTATCAGAACAACAGTCTGAGGTGAGATCATGTGTTAAAAAAAAAGATTTACATATTTTTGTTGTTTTTTTCCTGCAGCACTTCTGACTGCCGCAAGTTCCGGGGATCTTTCCATGGTAAAGTACAGTCACACTGCCCATTGCTAATGCCAACAGACAGACAGTAAAATATGTGTCGATTAAACGTGTCTGACCTGTTTGCAGCCATTAAACACAAACTCCCTTTAAAACAGTCAAGGTTTTAATGTGTGGATGGTTTTACCAGCAACAGCAGGACTTTCCCCAGTTCTTATTTGAGTGCCACATTTCGCTTTCAGGTTTCTGGCCTGTAAAACACACAGTTTAATTAAATCAATGACAGAAAGACGAGAGAATTCCTTTTTACAGATGTAACATCTTTCTTTCAGTGTTGTTTTTTTATTTTTTTTATTTTTTTAGAATAGTTTAAAAACACTTAGACCATAAACGAAAACTGAAAAGGAAGTGAAAAGTCATTAAAGCAGATGACAAAAATATACACCTAACACAACAGAGGGTTGAAAGCAAGAAAAAGTGAATCATCAAAATTCCAAGAATTAGATCTTATCTAGAGACAGCGTCTATGTCCCAAAGTGGGAGCTGACTCCACAAAAGAAAAAAATCCACTGTTAGAAAAAAAAATTGGTGATTGATGAGAGCTTTGTCACTTAGGATAAAGATTTTAGAATTCAATTGGATTTAACACTCTCCAGTTTCATGTTTGATGTTGATTTTCGGGGTTTTTTGTTGTCTACCACAGTGTTTTTCAACCACTGTGCCTCGGCACACTAGTGTGCCGCGAGTGATGGTCAGGTGTGCCATAGAAAATCATCCTATTTCACCTAATTGGTTTAAAAAAAAATTTTGATAAGGAATTCATTTTCAGCAAATAATACGCAATTTTTGAGTGTCTGCTGTACTAGTGACTGGTGGCGTAATCATGTAATAATTCCTCATGACTAGATTTTGTATATCATTTTGTATATTGTTGACATGTTAAGTGCAATTTGAAAGAAGAAATATAAAATATGATAAAAATACATTTTTGTGTTTATTTGATTCCTATTCAAGATACTTAAGATAAGATAAGAATAAAATAAGAATAACTATAGTGTTACTATAGGCGGCTACAGATTTGTTTAACATTTTTGGTTGGTGGTGTGCCTCGAGATTTTTTTCAATGAAAAACTGTACCTTGGCTCACAAAAGGTTGAAAAACACTGGTCTACCACACCCAGAGAAATTCCTCGACCTCCGCCTATATGTGAAATTCCACACTTCCTTCTCTGGAATTTCAGCAGAATACATTACATTCATTAACCCACTGAGACCTGAGCTTTTATTTGGGGTTCATTTTTGTGTTTCTCCAAGATAGATGGGATTTGTAGCATCTAATAACTTTAATAACCACACAGAAACACGTATTTTTTCCTCAGAAAGGGACACTGGGTTTTATTTTTTTAAATAAAATGCGTATATATGTATGCAAATTTTCATTGCGCAATAAAGACTTGGATAAAAGTTGGAGGTAAAAAAGTGTTGTGGTAAAGCGAGAAAAAATGTGGATGAGGATGCAGGATCTCAGAAGGCTTAAGACCAATTTAAGCACAGTTTGCATGGCAAACCATCCCAGTTGTGGTCAAGGCTTGTTTGGGGACACAAGTGGGTTACAAAAGTTGCCCATAATCTTTCTATTGTTCTGAAATACGGTAGCCGTTTCCCCCCCGTGAATCTCGGCAGATGTCGGAGTGCGTGCGCCGAGGTGTCAGCCTGTTGGTGAGGGACTCCAGAGGCTGTTCGGCGTTGCATATAGCTGCCCAGAACGGACACACGGAGCTGGTCAGCTACATACTGCAACAGGGTGAGAGTGTGTGTTTCGGAAACCGTGTCGCAACAAGCGAAGGGCTTCATCAGAAACACACTTTGGAGCACTGAGGCTGTCAGTCTGCTGTGAGTTTGCTGTGAGCATTTTTACCCAAACCCAATGCGTTTCTTCTTTCTCAGGCTCGAAAGTTCTTCTGGATTTAACAGACAGAGAGAGGTAAGTTTGTGTTCTTTATATAGTGTGTTTTATATCCTATAGACACGCTGTACATACAGTAATGGCTGATCATCACATCCATTTTATGTGTGGAAATCCCCTTTTGACAGCAAATGTTTGTGCTGGGTGTGATGTATCTTTCTGTAGATATAGGGTGGCTGCATATGGGTTGGTCTTACTTTAACCAGATTTTGTTGGGTTTTTTTGTTTTTTTGTTTTTTTTTGTTTTGTTTTCCTTTTTATTTTGTAGAGGGGACACAGCCTTGCACAAAGCAGCCACAGAAAAGCAGCATGCAGTGTGTCGGTTGCTGGTGGAGGCAGGCGCGTCGCTAGATAAGACCAATTTTCAGGTACACCACAACAAAAGTTTTTCAAAAACCTCCCGGTGTCTCCAACTCTCAGCTGAGTCACACCTCCAGATCATTTCCAGGAAAAGGGCAGCACTGTACGGGTTGGGTTTAATAATTAAACTGAAACTAATAGGAGAGAAGAAACTAGTGTGACGCACACAAAACAGAAATACACAACTTCCTATTTTGGGGCTCTGTACTTTTAATTTGCATTTAGCTTATAGAGAAGGAGGGTAAATATGGGCTGTACGTGTGACTTGTCCGCTGAAGACCTCAGCTTTTTTTCTAACTGAGAGTATCGTCAGACTCATGTTGGAACATGCCAAAGAAAACTATGAACGGTGTTGGTTTTGTAGAATTTAGTAAACACATCTACACCCGACCCTCCCTAGTTTCTTTTTTTATTGTGCGATTTAAACGCTTTTCGAAACCCAACTTCTGCCTAAGAACAGCGTCAGTGTTCGCTGGAATCCCCCGATGAGAAGCAAAGGCCCGGGCAGCGCCCCGCCCCCACCCCCCCACACACCCCCCTCAGCCCGGTGCTCATTCTCTTCCAGGCTGTCCGAGAGGACATCCGTGAACAGGATAAGGGATAAAAGCCAGCTCCGACAGTTCTCCAGAGAGCAGAATGAGCAAAAAAACAAGTCAGACAACAGCACAGCTATCTCATAAACTCATACACTCTAACGTAGCAGAATGAAAATGAACAGACAAGAAAAAAAAAAAAAAGGAAAGAAAACGCGTCCCTAGAAGTATTTGTTTCGAATTTGAAAATTTCAAATTCACCCTGCATTTTCATCCATGCATGCGGGTCGCTTTTTGTCCTGTTTGTCGCGACTCTTCGGAGAGAGACAATTGCAATTGCGTTATATTTCTAGGACATGTCATCCCTAAACGTATAATGAGACGCGTGTCTCCTCCAGGGGAGGACTCCAGCGGACCAAGCAGACGGAGACCTGGAGCTCGCGGCCTACTTGAGCTCCCCAAATCCCGCGTCGCCGGCCACCACGCAGGAAGACCTGGAGACCGCCGTCTGACCTTCCACGCACAGTCGCACACACACTCTGTCAGGACTCTGAGGCCCGAACACACTCATAGTAAGGACGGACGTGGCAGGAAAAGCTTTTTAAGAGAGTCTGGATTGGACTCGACGGAGGAGTGAGGAACTGTCTCAGCCCACAGAGCAGCGGAGTGGAGATTTTATTGGTCAACTATTTATTTGTATTTATTTATTCATATTCTATTTATTGGTTGTGCTGATTGATGGATCGATTGACCGACTGACCGTCTCACTTCTATCAGTGGAGGACGCAAGTGCAATTTCAACACACATCGTGAGCTCTCCCGTTCGTCTTGTCTCGGAGCCGTTTTGTTCATATTCTACCTGACGGGACTCCTACAGTGGTTGGCGATGTGCTTATAAAGTTAGATGAAGCGAGTCAAAATAGAGATAGAAATGGTATATATTTATCCCGTGAAAACCTGCGTGCCAAAGAAATTGCACTGATCGCGGCGTCATATCGACTTTCACTCCCGTTCCCAGCTTCTGTCGTTGGTTTCCCCGCGTCCCTTGGAGTCTTTCATAGCAGTTTTTTTTTTTAATTGTCTTTTAAAAAGCCAGGTATGCGATGACTGCCTCGCCGTCACATGCTGCTCCGTGTCATCGTCACGACTGGGGAAACCTAAAAAAAAAACAGGAAGAAATGTTTCAACATATCCACCATCAAACATTTAAAAAAAGAAAAGGGAGGGTTTTCTCTCCCTCTTGCTTTACAGTTGCTTGTAAAGTGGTGGTGAGTCATCTACAGAGACGCCCTGAAGCAACCTTTTAGTTCCCTCTGTACTTTGCTCTGTTGGTTCACTTCTTTGTTGCTTTTGATTAAGGTTGATAGAATAGAAAACATAGGACTAAAAAAAAAAAAACATATAAAGCCTCTTATGGGTTTTAAATGTTTTACAGTCTGCACTAACTGGACAAAACTGCTGCGAATTTGACTTAAAGTTCAATTAAAGATTAAAGTACACAGAGTAAGCCCGTAAGTGAACGGAGCGGAACATTTATTATTATTATTTATTATTATCATCACATTTATTAGGATTTTTTGATTTCCCTCAGAGATATTTTTCTCGTCTTATGATATAGATTTTCTGAACTATTTGACTTTTATTCACGTGTGAAGTCTGCCTTTTGGTCAAAGAATGAGCAGATTCACAGATTAACTTTCTCTTCTTCGGTCCATAAATACACATTTTTACCGACTTATTTTGTTAAAAGTCGGCCCAAAGTAATGTGAGGAAACCAACACAAGGCATTAGCAAGCGTGTTATCGGGACCATAGAGCAGGGTGTTTGAATTAAGAAGTCACTCGTCTGTAATTTATAAAGAAACATCTGCAGTGAATATTTAAAGTTTTCGTTCTGTGGAATAACCTGTGTGAGACACCCCTACGAGGCTCGCGAATGCAACATGCTCATAAGAGGCCTGGTGAGGATTCATTCCATATCAATCCTGAACCAAGAAGCAAGAGCACCACAAAGCTTTTCTTTTGTTTGTCTTTGTTGAGTTTTTTTTTTTTTTTGCTTTACAGCATTTTTCAGAATTACAAACTGAGTGTTTAAACTATGTGTGTTTACCTGAAGAGTGTTTTCATGCATATACTGTATATCGTATACACGACCGAGAGAACAGGTGCGTTTAGAGAAAAGAGAAAATCTGAGCCACATTCAATGCAATATGAGTAGATGGCTTTTTTCCTTTTCCTTTGCATTTCTCTCGCAATCGTTTACATTACATTAATGTTTTAAATACAGTCGACCTTTTAGCACCGAGGAGTATTGAATGTTCAATGTTACTTCAGTGCCGATCGAGTTCATGATTGATTGTCTTGTTGTTTTAATACATTTCTCTATTTTTTGTTTTGTATGCATGTGTTGCAAGGGACTGAAACAACCCTTTGAGATGTCCGATGAACGGTTGTATATTTGAATAATATTTTCTGTAGGACAAGCTTCTCACGGGTTTTTGTGGGGGGGCATTTTACAAAGTACGGGCAGCCATTGTGGAAGTCTCAAAAAAAGAAGTTAGGAAAAAAAATTCCGGAAGAGACAATTTTCAGCCACTGCAATGATTCACAGCGTTGCGAAATAATTTATTCACGCTTTCCCCAATATCATCTTACATTCATTTTTTGTCAGCATTACAAGTTTGCCTAGTTTTACATATCTTTTAATGTAAAAAAAAAAAAACTATTTATAGGGGAATTAGGAAAATTGAAGATGTAAAAGACAAAACATGTATGGGAGTGAAAACTGCAGTATTAACTTGGTATGGCTGTATTTTCTGTGGTGACTGTTGTTTGATCACTAGTGCAGATCTACCATCAAACCAAAGGGCATCTTTGAGATTCCAGATCAGCATATAAAATACTTTAAAACAGTTTTGAGTTACTCCATCTTGTCTTAGCCGGTGCCTCCAGGCCTAAAAACAACTGTCTCCGTTCTGTGGCTCGGAAAAGAGGATTCGAAATCTAACGAAATGAAAGTGACTTTCCTTTTGAGAAATATTGCATCACACTTTTCCATAATTATGGCTGTAGCTAGCATAAACTTTACAAGTTCATTTACGTTAAACTGATTTTTGTTTTTAAATTACAGAACAAATGCTGAAGAAGTGTAACGAGGTCAAGTAGTTTACAGTAATAGGAACGTGTCAGGAAAGTTCTGAGCTTCTGAAATGACACAGTTTCAACTTGTAAGTTCGCACGAAATCAGATTTGAATTAAATGCCCACGTACAGGACTGAGCAGACGCTAAAAAAGAGTTTTTATTTTTATTATTGTCATCTTTATGTTGATTTTGTCTGCCAGTCCGCGTGAGTCAAAACGACTGTTGGTGAGTCACCCTGAAACCAGCAGCCGTGCCAAGGTAAGCACCAGGGTCTGCAGTTACTAATTCAAAGTACCTCCAAATTGTACTGCAATTATACTCTACAGCTGAAACTGTAAGTGACACGGCTTCCTCTAAAGCAGGTAAAAGAATGTATGGGTCAGAGCAGGACATGAAATGTCTCCTACGCTCGTTTACTAAAAATGTAAGACAGAAAAAAAAGTATTTTTGCAGACTTCTTTGACCAAATTAACATTTTTACAAGAGATTGATCCCAAGAAACGTGTCACTTTTTGTTTCCACTAAGCAGGACTTCCGCCATGGCTCCTTTTGAAATGAGATAAAAATGTGTGTGAAGGAAACACTGATGCTAAGCTATCCGTTAGGCCCATGTCAAACCGCACACACACACACACACACTCGCTTCTTATCATCTTCTCTTTCTATTTAACAGAAACATGACTATATTAAACTTTGTCCCATCCAAGTTATTTATGCATGGCATTTTCTTACCTCTGTGGGACTTTTTGTTTTCCAGTGATGGAAATAAAGAACGGCATTCTTTTTGTCTGAACAGTGAAATTAGGATAGTTTTCAGAATTTTAGAGCTAAGTTTCTTCTGAGATGGGGCAAGTGTTGAATGTTTTGGTTTTGCTTTTGTATTTAATTTTTTCTGCTGCTGATGAGAATGATGATGGGATTACTTGAAGTTTGTTGTTTTCATAAGTTGTTTTAAAGCTATTGTAATGCCGTTGCCTTCGTCTGACCTTATTGTGAGAATGCAGTTTCGGCATTCTCACTACTGTTTTGACCGTTGTTTTTTTTTCCCCCTCATTATTTATTTTCTCCGTTTTCCCACGTCTAACCATTTCAACATTCCAACAGGTAAGGTATAACAGCATTCAGCAGGATGCTATATGTTAAAATCCTTTCAACCTTTTGGATTTTTTCACTTTTTGTCATTTATTTCTTTGCTGGCTCTCCCTGAAAAGATCAAAAACTTTGACCTACTTGGAGTCTTTTGGATACAAACACCATTCGACTTTCAAATGGGTCTGAATGACTGCTCTCTTCCAAAAATATTAAGCATTTTTAAAAATATTAAGATTCTTTAAAAAAAAAAATCACAAACATTCTCCTCCTTCAGAATTGACAATGCATTCCTATTTGGAGAAGTGAGTGCAAACATCGAAGGCTGTTTACACACTCCAGCTTCTCAGCAAATTTCAGAATAATTAAAAAAAAAAAATTTATCTTCAAACTCCTTCAGTTTACTTCCACGTCCTTCAACTTTCCTACACAAATTGTATCAAAGCACTTGGACTGTCCATCCGTAGGCCGCCATGTTTTCCTCTGAGTTTCTCATTTTCAAGTTTAAGATCAGTGTTCTGCTGATTAGTTTGACATTCGAGTGTTTTCATTCAAATTTTTCTCTTCAAATAGTCTTCAGCTTTCAGTTTTGCTGTAATGAAATTAAGCCGTTGCCCTTAAGCTGTTTTATACATTACAGTTCTCTAAATTACAATGAAACTTTTAAAGTTGTATCACACATTTTTGTTCTATTTGAAATCCTTCCACTTTTGTTTTTCTTTTCCATCATCTTCAGACCATTGAACCGTTGTCTCCTGAATTCTCTTCCAGTACAATTTTGACCTGTTCTTCAGCCATTTGTTAAAAGTTATTTATTTTTTTATTTTATTTTTTACATTTTCCATTTTATTGAGCTTCTTAAAGTGCATTTGTTCTACAGATCAGAACTGTGGTCTAGTCATTTGTTTAACCTTTGACCTTTTTCCCCGAGAGCTCTTCATTTTTGTTTTTCAATGGTCTTGAGCCGTCAGTTCTGCTTTAATACAATTAAACATTCCCCTGAAGCTGTCATAAACAGATTAAAATTGGGCCTTTTACTGTGGAAAATTTTAAGACCATGTAATCATTTCGGTTGTGCTTCAAATCCTCCAGCGATTCTTCATCGACGTCATCGTATCCTCAAAAGTCCTTCAAGCTGTTGTTCTTTAATTTTAAGATGAGTCCCTGTGACGTTTGAGCGTGTTCTCCAGCTAATCGTTGCAACTGCTCTTTAGTTTCCTGAGCATCTTTTGATGCATGTTGTGGTTCTTCCTATCCTCCAGATCGACATTCTCGCAGCTGTTTCATCAGAAACGGCACTTTCTGGTTTTCTCGTGGCCTGGGGGCAGTCCCCCCTCACCGCAGCGCTGCCTGCGGCTTCTGTACAGCTACTTTACGCTCGCACTTGAATCAGAGATGGCCCAAAAGAGGCCACGCAGTTCATTGTTTGAACCTCTTTACAGTCTTCATTGAGGAAGAGCTTCAGCAGGCTGACTAAACCATACTTGTACTTGCGTTATTATAGTTTTGTATGTGTACTGTATATATAAACATCATCTTTGCAGTACTGAGTCAGTAATATGTCAAATAAAGTACTGTACGTGAAAACAGATCTTTTTTTTTATTTTTTTTTTACTTATTGTGATCATAACAGTGAAATGACCATTTTAATAATTCCAACATGCTCACAGATACCTTTTTTCAAACTATTTTAACTCTGAGAAACACATTCCGAGTGTTAACATGGATCACTTTTAATCAGATTATCAATCCCATTAAGAGTAAACATATCCTATATCGACACCTCTGTATTATTTTTCTTTCTTAGATTAAGATGATTAACATAAACATTACATTTTAACGTATTGTTGTATTTCTCCAATATTGAGTATTTCTCTCTGGATTGAACAAAGTTTTTTGGGGGGAACACACACCGACTATATGAAGATACGGTGGGTGCCAAAGTTTCTGAGAGCTTATAGGCTTTGTGGCACCGAAACGTCTCTGGTCTGTGACAGACGCCGTTTTGTTACAAATATTAAAAGTAACAGATGACTGAACGTGTTGTCTTGATCTTTTTTTACAACCCTAATGAATAAATGGTAAACGTAGTCAAACGGGGATTCATCCACAGTTACCTGAATGAGTTACTCAGTCAATTAGGCCGTCGAGTTCCCCTTTTCAACTGTTGATGGACTCAGAATGCCTTACAGTCACAAGTAAATATGTTAAAAGTAAAGAAACGAGGAACGCATATAGGGTGATGTATATTAGATGGACTATTCCAGCAAAAACCTGTCGTGCATCAACCTTTTAACATTCTGCTAAACCGTTTAGTAGAGCACATTTTACACTATGTATATATTGCAATTAACTATACTTAGAATTCTCAATCAGTCCTTCAGTCAAGTTGTCTGAGTGGGTGGGGATGTAAATAACTGCTCTCTACTTATTAACAGTATTTATCAGTGTCATGAGGGTAAACAGAATGAAGGCTCATCCTGTGACTCAGTCTTTTCATCAACAGTGCTACACATGCTCCCTCATCTATGGTCAGTTCACCACATGTTTAAACAAAGGATGGAAACTCTGTGGTTTGATGACTCATCATAAACTTGACCGTCTTCACTTACATTTGAGATAAACAACAATTCTGATGGAGGAGGTGTACGTTTCTGCTGACATTTTTTTAAGAATAGTTGTGTGAAGAGATAACAGTTACTATTGCTTGACACATAAACAAACTATCCCACTTTTCAGAATCTATTTACCGTCTATGAAGGACAGGACTCAAAAGGTCTGATAAGCCTGAGACATGATGTGAACCGAGTAATGTCACGCCGGCTCCAGTTAATGTTGTGACTGGCCTCCCAACTTAAGTTGGAACATTTATTTTTGAGCAGAGTTTACCATCAGTTGGTTTTGATGAATTGTTGAAGTTAATCGGCATCTGAACCTTTTTCTGGTTCTCAGTTTAATTGATCTTTAAAAGCTTTTCTATTTTACCTCTGGCACTTTATGCGTTTTAGGTATTTCAGACTCCAAAATCACAAATGAATCCACCCAATAGGGCAGCTGAAGAGCTCAGGTTCCTGAGAATTGCGACACGTGTCAATGTGGAAACCCCACACCCTCCCAGGCCACAAGCACTGATTAAGAAACATGGCAGTAACGTTAAAATTCAAGCTCTCGTAAACAGTACACGATAGTTAAAGCTGGTTGTATTGTTTTTTTTCATTAAAAAATAGCTTTTTTTAAAAAAAAAAAAGAGTGTCAATGATTGAAATCTCTGATCAGTATTGACTGGTACATCCAGGGGGAATCACATATATACGTTTTTGCCTTTCACATGGGTTTTTCCATTGAATTTTGAAGATAGCAGAATCATCCTCCTAATTGTGTAGACTTAACGTGTTTACTTGGAAAAAAATAGAGGATTGTTATTTTATTTTCCTTTTTTTTCTCATTTCCTTTGCACAATAGAAACCACAATGCTTTTTTGTTTATTTATTTTTTTATACGTTGCCGTGACATGGTAAAAGTTATTTTGTGTGACACAAACTCTTTTTAGTAATCTATTTAGTCATCACATTCCTAAACCTAAAGCTCATTCAGGTAATTGCACTTATTGTATTATGTCCTACCACAGGGTAATGTACAAAGTTTTAAAATAAAAATAAAAAACAGAAAGTCCGAATGATTGAGCAGGGTGTGGAAGGGTTTTTGTCATGTTTGTCCCTTAGATACAGTTTTTTTTCTTCTGTATTTCAACTTCTGTTGACTCCTCTGTGGACACACCCCGCTTCCATTTGAAGGAAATCGCCACGTCACGTGACCAGAAGAGTAAAGATAAATTAAGCCGGCACCGGTCAAAAACGGGAGTCGGTAGTCACCAACTTGTCAGAGCGAGAACGTAAGTGTGTTCTTTTTTTTGTATTTTTTTATTTTATTTCTCCTGCTTGGTACAGTTTATTTTCAACCAACGCTAAGAAAATTTATTCCGCCAACATTTCAACGTCTTCCGTAACTTTCGGGGGACGGCGGTAGCTCGAATGTAGTAAATTAACTTAGCGCGGCCAAGTTTGGATGGGCAGCTTTAAAAAACAAAACTGTATTTATTATTTTTCTACCCTGTATGAGTTTTACGTGGGAAAACTTGTGGAGTTTCTTGCTTGGCTGCGACCTCAAAGGGAAATAGTGGACAGTCATATAGGAAAGCTACATGTCTCGACATGTTTCGATGAAGGTTAAGCAACAGAAAGGCGACCTAAGTGGACTTTAAAGTGTCGTAAAGAAAATACGAATTTAAACTTCGGTTGGTCATAGATGTATCTTTACCTGGTCTTGGCCTCTAACTTGGGCTTTATTTTCAATGTAGAAGAGTCAAACTGTACATAGACAAAGGTGGATTTTGAGAGTAATTACGGTGTACAGAATATGAACGGAACACAGAAATAATTTCCTGTATTCATATTTAAAGGTCTGTCACGTGACCATATCATTTTTTAAAATCTAATTGTTATTTTGATACTTTTATTTACGGCTTATGCTCAATGGGATGGTTTAGGAATATTTTTATTTAGCGGCTTCTTGTCGTCTTTCAGGAATATCCGGCGTCATGGCGAATGGACGTGTGGAAATCCACGACCCCATGTCCAACGACCACAGCCGCACGGAGGTCCCAGCCTCCGACCCGGGCGCGGAGAGCCTGGAGGACACGGAGGAGTTCAGGATCCTGATGGCCTACGCGACCAGGAGGAGGGGGGACGGAGCACCGGTCATCCCGGTGGCGCTGACCGCCCCGGACACGCCCGTTAAGGCCGAGAAAGAGGAGCCGAAGCACGAGAACGAGGCGAGCAGAAAGAAGGGGGAGAAGAAGATAAAGAAGAAGAAGAAGAAGGGATGGAAACGCCTTCCGCTGATCTTTCGATGCGTAAAACCCTCCGAGGACGCAGAGGAGCCGCCAAGTCCAGAGGATGACCACCCGCCAACGAATGGAATCAGCGACAGAGTTTTTATAGGAGCACATGGTGGGGACTCCAGATGATAGGCCAGTAATTCTGAATGAGACCTTAACTTAGTTTTGATTTTAAAATCTCAGAAAGTACTAAAGCACTGTCTGAAATCCTTCCCAAAAAGGCATGAAGTCCTAATAGAAGGCATACAGATGTTAGAGATAGAATGTATTGGTCAACTATTTGAGATAACAGTGACTGTACAAAACCCCAAAATACCCTAAAGGTGACCAAAGCTCCCTTCTTCTTATTGACAAAGTTGATTGTTTTGGACGATGAGTCGTAAACAACCCTATGGACGTTTTACCGCTTTGCAAAGAGGAAAGCAAACGGGTTTATTTGGGTTGTAGCGTGACAGATAACGAGAGGAAGTTGGTCTTGTTGCTGCTCTGCCACAGACTCATGACACGTATCAAAACTGGACTGACCTGATCCACAGGGAGCCTTATGAATGCCACGCGCCTGGGAGTTCAGGCCTAAGCCAGATTCCTCATGTTTTTTTGTTTTTCCCTTTTCCTTCCAGATGTGCAGGAAGAAGAGGATGATAAGTTTGCTGGGGTGGCGAAAGAGCTGATGAAGCTCGCCGATAAAATCCCGCTCCATCCTTCGGATATTGAGACGGACTCGGATGGTGAGTTTTTTTTCTTTAGGAAGAATAAGGTGTTTTGGGATCATCTTTCCTTGTTGAGTGTTCTGCTTGGTGCATGTGTGGATTCTCCCTCTCCTGCTGCCCAAAACAAAGCATGGTGGTCACCAGTCCATCACAGGACTAGTACCTGCCCTCTTGACCACAGACAGCTGGAATGACTCTCTCATTGGGAGGCAGCAGAACAGTTAGAATAATTCTGTACGGATGTGAAAGGGAATGAAAGCAGTGTGTGTGTGTATATGTGTGTGTGGGGGGGGGGGGGGTAGATGAAATGCGTTGAAACATCTCAACAGACTGAAATCATATGGCTCTGACTTGAAGCTGCTGTGGTGTTTTGGTTTTATTTTTTTTATTTTTATATACAGTAGAAACCTCTACATACGAATTTAATTTGTTTTGGGACCTATTTCGTATGTTAAAATATTCATATGTTGGTTCAAATATTCCCAAAAGAAGACATTGTAATTCTTATAATTCGTTCCACAGCCCAAAAACCTACGATAACTCACTAAAAAATACTGAAAATAATTAAACACGGCAATAAAGCAAATGCATTATATAAGAGACATGTAAAAAGAAAAAATTATAATGAAATGATCAATAAAAAGGGGTTTTTATTGGCGAACGGAGGTGGAGGCTTAGCGATGCAGGAGACGGTCGTATGGTGACTGAGATGTAGTCTAATACTTGTCTAACTTTCACTGTGTGAACTTTAAACTATTTATTTATTTTAATTTTTTTTCCCGATGACTTTGACGTCATACATATGTTGGAAATTTACTTCGGCTGTCGAGTTGAATATTTGATCAAATTTCACTCCAGATGTTGGAAAATTTGCATGTTTAGGCAATCGTAAGTAGAGGTTCTACTGTAATCTATTTTAATGTTTATTTATTTATTTATTTCATTTCTTAGATGATGTGGAGAAGATCATAGGTCTGCTGTTGAGGGAGACTGGAGACAAACTGAACGAAAAGGTAAGGAAGCAGCTAGACTTGAACTAGTCTGGTCACGCCTCAGGGACCCCCCCGGGGGGGGGGGGGGGGTTTATGGTGATCTTGCGGTTTATCACCTTTTCCCATCGTATAAAGCCGTTTCCGGCTGGACTCATTAATCCACACGCCCAGGATCGCTCGTTTCAGACGGGTCCAAGGTTCACCCATCAGATTCTGTTTACAGCTTCTGTTATGTCATCCGGCCGTGCGGCTGCAGTTCTCATCCACGTTTCTCTTGCTTCCAAAAAACCCTGAACATACCCCGTCCGTTGTGTCCACCTCCAGTTGAAAGACGCTAACGTAGGACGGCTTTTCCAAAACTACGACTTCTTCAGGACGCTCATGGACGCCTTCTTCTCGACGATCGGCTTCAGGAACCCCAACCCCGACGCTCTGGGACCGCAGGCATCGCCCAAAACACAGCTCGCCATCACCTGTGAGGTCAGGGCAGCCTTTCATCTACATTGTTTTGTTTTTTTTAACTTGGAGTAACATTTTCTTCTCGAACTGCTTACATTAAGTCTGCACTCAAAAAAAAAAAAAAAAAAAAAAAAAAATTGTGTGTGTGTGTGTGTATATATAAAAAACTTTTTTTTAATGAGGTTTTTTTTCTTCCTCAGGTCACCAGTCGTCTGTCAGCAGCAAACACTCTCCCCACGAGCAGCCTGTTTCGCCACGGAGCCCGATATATGCAGCAGTATTACTCGGGCTGGGCGCAGCAGGAGGGCGGATACGTACGTTTTAACACTCCACAGCGACAACTTCGGCCGACCGCGAATGTTAAATGTTCAAATTAACCAAACGCTTTCCCTTTTGTTTTTTCTTTTCTTTTCTTACTTGCAGGAAGCTGCCATCGAAAGCGACGAAGAGGAGGTTGAGTGATTTCGGTAATGGGATGTGGTTCAGGGGGTCCACAGTATCTCATCTCAAACCCGCTCCCTCTGAGCCAGCCGTCAGGATGCCCCGCTGTGACCTGTGAACCTTGGTACTTCTAAGTGCGATGGTCTTAAACTGATTTTAATTGGTTAAAAGAAAATCTGCTTTTTTTTTTTTCTTAAACAGTTAAATAATGTGATTTATTTTCTTCTCTTCCAATAAATGAATCCTTTAGATACTTGTTAGTTTCACAGGGACCATGAACCAAAGACAAGAACATTTATGGACCATTATAAATTTATGGACCATTGATTATTATTATTTTTTTTTTGTTATATATTTTTTTGTTTCATAGGTGGGTTGACAATGAAATGTACTTTTGAGCACTTGCACTTTTACTGAAAAAGAGAAATGGAGACCTATGATGTGTTTTTGTGTAACGTGTTTTTCTTGCTAAGTTAAGTCTTACAAATACTTGAGTGAAAGTCTGCAGTGTTAATTCTAAAGTAGCCGATATGATTTCTAAATCCCATGCATGATATTTGCGCAATGTCAAGTTGAACCAAAAACTTGATTGCTCTCCAAACTTCTGTTTTTTATTTTAAAAAAAAGGGAAGAAGTTGTGTGTGTTTATGATGGGCAAATAAAAAACAAAAGACACCTAAAACTGATTGGCGTTTACCTTTTTATATGTTTGAACCACGTAAACGTGTTTGCTGTGATGGATGCGACTTGATGAGGGTACAGGCATGGACATATATACGTATATATGTCTATGGATACAGGTGCCAACCGGGTCCGTTTTCTGACGTTAGCTGGGCTGGCTAAAGCTAGCCATGTGAAAAACGCGCTTGCGTCACAACGGCACCACCTTGTGGTCAAAAGAGACGATGCGACTTTTTACTCGGCGCATCCAGTTCTCAAAAATAGTGTACCCCCCCCCCCCCCCCCCCCCCCC